CTATATCTTTTGATAGCCAGGCACCATCAGCTTTCTTCGCATAGTTAGTTCTTATCATTTGATTACCCTTTAGACCTACCTACTTTAAAGCTGTTTCCGTTTAAAATTTTTAAAAAGTGAAGGGAAATCACTTTTGGATTAAGTGGATTAAGCTCCTGGAGAATCCCCTCTGACCATGGACCAGGGATACAGTTAGGTTAAAATTTAGCACCCTATTATCTGATCTTATGATCCATTTAAATTTATTCTAGCTTTTAATATTTTCTGCTTTCTTATCAATTGTGTTTCACTTTGTTTTTGTTAGTTTTTGTTGCTTTTTTAATGTTTTTCCAGATATGAAATCCAGGATAAGTAAATGTATAGACAGTAACTTGATTAATGAGACCTTGGGAGTACACGGCAGGGAAGGTTGGGGGCAAATGGGAGCTAATAACAATGAATCCAACAATAAAAAAATGTTCTAAAATTGATTGTGGTGATAATTGTACACCTCTTCTTGATGTGACTGTGCTATTATATATGTAAATGATATGCCAATAAAACTGTAGGGGGGGAGAGAATATGCTCAGGAGACAAAAGCATTTAGCAGTATCTTCTAGTGGCCCCCTCCCTCCGCAACCTCTCTTGTGATGTCCAAATTGCCACCCTCTCTGGGATTCCCTACTTCTCTCCTGCTCAACTTCCTCCTCTCAACTTCTGAATGTGTGAATCCTTCAGTGCTCAGCACAGCATTCTTTTCTCTTTAGTATTACTCTCCATTTTGACCTGTTTGAATTCTACCTTCATGCTGTTTACTTTCAAATTTCCATTTCCACTCCAGATCTCTCTGAGCTTATGCATCCAAGTGCCCACTTGACATTTTCAGTTCCATGAGTTACAGACATCAAAAGTTAACAGGATTCAAATAGGATTTTTTTAAAATGTACACACACACATACCTGCGTTCTTATTTAAATAAATAGCTTCGCCACTTGCTCAAGCCTAAAGTGATTGATGATTGCTCCCTTTCAAATTGTGTCCCCAAAAGATACGTGTCAATTTAAGTGGCCATGTTTCTCAGTGGTTTGGCAATTATTTACACAACACATCCTATAAGATGTGATCTGCTTTGATAAAAGGGGATTAGGGTGGGATGCAACAACCTTACTCAAGTCACAGCCCTGACCCAATGTAAGCAGTTTGGAGGGGTGGGTGGGGAAGGGGTGACCTTCATCACCTTTTCTCTTACAAGATGTGGGAGAAAGAAACAAGCCAATAGCAGAACCACCGAAAAAGAAGAGCCAAGAAGAGTGGGAACCATTTAGACTCAGTGTCCCTGTGCTGGGAACCTCCTAGAAGCAGGAGGCACAGAAAGAGAAAACTTTCCCCTAGAGCTGGTATTCTGGATCAGATGCCTGGATGCCTGAACTGTGCGAGTATAAACTTGTTTGTTAAAACTATCCACTGTGGTGCATCTGTTAATACCTAAGATACTGAGTTCCCAGCCCATCAACAAGTCCTCACTCTCCAGAACAGAACCTAAAGTTCCCTGTTCTCTCCACCCCTATAATTCCAATGGTCCTGGGCTCATTGCCATCTATCCTCTGGATTTTTCCAACAGCCTCACTGGTCTCCTATAAATGTATTACTGAGTCCGCTGATAAAAGTCTGGGATGCCCGTCATTGTTTTTAGCCAAATACAGAGACCAAGTTGATTTGAGGATTTTTAAGTTTATTCCTCTAAAGTACTCATCCCAAAACTGTTCAGAGATTCAGTGAGAAGCAAGAAAGTCATATATCCATTTCCTTATCTAAAAGGCCTTGCTAACCCAGATGATTTTGCTCATCCAAACTTGCTGAATTAGAACATTTTTAAGTTTAAAAAGGAATTTTACTGCCAAGGGACATAGGGTGGCTGTTATATTTGTGTCTTTTGCAAACCAAGTCTTAAAAAGACCCATGTCACATTTCCACCATTTGACTAACAACAGGCTAACTTTATTACCCCCTGTGTATCAATATTTCATTAAAAGAAAGAGCAAAAGGCCGGTTTCTAAGAGACAGAAATTAAGCATGTCCCAGGTTTCTAACCTCTCCCATTCCATCACTTCCGACATGGATCACTCTCCTGCCCCTCAGTCTTCTCTGTGGGTTCCATTTTGCTCAACATCTCCACGAACTTTTGAACTATACTTAGAAATATATGGTTTAACTGTAAATGGGAAGGGGCAGGAATGGGATCACCTTGGAAGTTACCCAAAAACCCCATTGTCCTCAGGTCAATTCTAACTCAGAGCAACCTGTATAGGTCGCTAAACACAGAAAAGGTCATTTTTTTAAAAAAAAACAGGAAATAAAGAAAAGACCGTAGATGATAACAGAAAAGACTCTTGCTCTAAATCTAAACTTGCTCTAAATCATATAGTAGCTAACGTAAATGGAAGGATGAAGGAACTGAGCAGGAAATTCCAAAAGACGGCTCAATAAGACAGCCAAACATTAAAATGAAATGTACAAGGACTTAGAATTAGAAAACCATAAAAGAATAATACACTCAGTATATCTTAAACTGAAAGAATTCAAGAAAAAATTCAAGCCTCGAATTGAAATTTTCAAAGATTTCCAAGCAGATGGAAAGAATACAGACACACTGTACCAAAATGAACTAGTTGACATTCCACCATTTCAGGAGGTAGTATATGAGCAAGAACAAGTTCTTGAACGGTGCTGAAGGTACAAGTTCAAGCAACACTGAATGTATTAGCCAAAAGCAAGGCTCCAGGAATTGACAGAATACCCACTGAAATGTTTCAGAAAGCTGAAGCACTGGAAGCACTCACTCTTTTATGCCTATAAATTTAGAAGAGAGCTACTTGGTCAACAGACTGGCCAAACAGAATACTCAAGCACCAGAACAATATCATTGAAATCTCACCCAAATAAAATTTTGGTTAAGATCATCCAACAATTGCAACAGCACATTGACAGGGAACTGCCAGAAGTCCAGGCTAGATTCAGAAGAGGATGTGGAACAAGGGATGTCATTGCTGATGTCAGATGGATCTTGGCTCAAAGCAGAGACTACCAGAAAGATGTTTACTTGTGTGTCATTGACTATGCAAAGGTATCCGACTGTGTGATCCATAATAAACTATGGATAACCTTAAGAATGAGAATTCCAGGACACTTCATTGTGCTCATACAGAACTTGTACATGGATCAAGAGGGAATTGTACAAACAAAACAAGGAAATTCTGCATGGTTTAAAATGAGGAAAGGTGTGTGTCAGGGGTGTATACTCTTACCACATGAGAGAATAGCCCAAAAAACTCCTCTAGGTGGAGCTTTTGTAGTATGCATTTTTCCACTAGGTGAGCATCGAGTTGCACGTTCTCTCTAGTCACAGCCAAGTTTTTTGTAAAAGCAGTTTCGCTAGAACCTCGTTTTTTGTGATGGCCAATATAAGAGAACAGTGTGTGCCTGTTAAGTTTTATTTCCTGCTCAGGAAAAATGCCATAGTAACTGATGTGATGTTGAACACAGCTATAGGAAAAACTCAAGTAGTTTTCTCTTTTCAAAAAAGGTAAAATTTCAATTGATGACAAACCTTGTCTGGACATCCATCAGTCAACTTCCTGATCTGATGAAAATGTCAACTCATGCGTTTGGAAATCATTCCACCAGGTCAGACTGTTAAACAAGCTATTTAGAACTTCTGAAAAGATCGTTTAACAGTGTGCAACAAAAAAGGACTGATTTGTGGTAGACAGGGGACTGGCTTTGCCACCACAATGCACCTAATCATGCAGCCATCTCAGTACACCAGTTTTGGACAAAGAATAGTATGCCTCTCTTGCCCCACCCACATACCTTACTCAATTGACCTCACTCCATGTGACTTCTTTTTGTTTCTGTGAATGAAGAGGGACATGAAAGGACAGCGATTTCGCAAAGTAGAAGAGGTAAAGAAAAAAAACACGAGGGAGGTGCTGTCAACTTTGAAAAGAAAAATACCGTTGTGGGGAGGTACCCCCTCGTACTTGTTCAATCTTTATGCTGAGCAAATCATCAGAGAAACTGGATTATATGAAAAGAGTGTGGCATCAGGATTGGAGGGAGGCTTCTTAACAACCTGCGGTATGCAGATGACACAACCTTGCTTGCTGAAAGTGAGGCCTTGAAACAAATACAGAAGATGCCTCTTAAAAGATAAGATTAGTTTTCTTCAGGAAATATTGAGTATTGTTAGATTACCTTTTACAGAAAAATTAAATGTACATACTTCTTACAACCATAAAATTGTAATCAAAGCATTTATTACATTTGCATACTAAACCACACGTCAGGTTTTCAGAATTCAGCCATAAGTCATGATTCTGCACCAGGGCCACCAGTCCATGATTTCAAATAGTTGTAGATTCTCTCAGGAACTGGAACAAAATCATCTCTATATGTGACTATGGTCTCCACATAAAATCCTTTTGGGGGCTCAGGTATTTCAACCGGCAATACTTCCTTTTGCTCAACTTCATCTTTAAAAAAAGGAAAATGGAATTATTAATCTTTAGAAAGCAGTAGTTAAAATTAAGTCCTGAAAATAAAACAAAGTAGGACTTGTATCAAATTCCATTTTTTTCTTAAAAAGGAAACAGTTAAACATACAAAAGGACACGACCACTAGAGTGCCCAGTGCCCAGTATGACATTAAATGTTCTTAAAATTTGTAATGTTACTGATAACCTTCATCACCAGATGTAATCCTCAGTACTTTTTTGAAAAATACTTTTTAAAAATTAGCTTTATTCAGAAAAATTCAGTACTTCACTTACAAAATTCACCCATTTAAAATACACAATCCAATGGAGTTTTTAGTATATTCAGAGTTGTACAACCATCACAAAAAGCAGTAACTCATTTCCCCCAACACTCAGCCCCTTGCAACCACTAATTCACGTAGTAATACAGATTTACCAAATCTACTATAGATTTCCAGCACATTTCAAAATGATGATGTTTCCTCCCCTATCCCGTAAATAAACCAAAGCCAAACTCACTGCCATCAAGTCGATACCGTTTCATTGTGTCCTCATAGGGCAGTGGTTCTCAACCTTCCTAATGTTCATCACGTGGTGGTGATCCCCAACCATAAAATTATTTTCGTTGCTACTTCATAACTGTAATTTGCAACTATTATGAACCATCATGTAAATATCTGACATGCAGGATGTATTTTCATTGTTACAAATTGAACATAATTAAAGCATAGTGATTAATCACAAAAACAATATGTAATTAGATATTGTGAGATATTAGTTTCTAATTACAAATAAATGCAATTTTGTCTTGAAGCCTGGTGTGGCATGGGTTACAGGCTTCACGCCGGGTACTGTAGGTGGGCGTATCTGCATGTGGGGCGACCCGCCTGGAGAGGATATAAGAGCGGTGTCCTGGTTCCTAAGAGCATCTGAAATAGTTTGTGCTTTCCGATGGTCTTAGGCGACCCCTGTGAAAGGGTCGTTCGACCCCCAAAGGGTTGAGAACCGCTGCCATAGGGGCAGGGTGGCACTGACCCTGGAGTTTCCTGGACTGTCTCCCTTTCCTGGAGTAGAAAGCCGTCTTTCGCCTGCAAAGCAGCTGGTAGTTACCAACTGCTGTCCTTGCAGTTAACAGCCCAACGCATACCACCAAGCCGCCCTGCCTGCTCAAAGTCCTTAACTTTGTTTGCTGAGTATAATGGAAGGAAATGTTAGAGAAGCGTTACCTCTTTAACGGTCTCTGAAAGCCCACTATGAACTTTATTATATAAAGAGTCTTTGAACTCAGGTGTATGTGGAAGGCCCATTTCAAAAAATACGAATTAGGTAAGTGGGTTTGTTGGTAAATCTCTCGTCTGGTTCTTTGCAGATTCCAGAGTAGTAACAAGTGAGTTTAAACAGTTAGTCACTGTTTCAGGCGGTTCGGAAGCATAAGCCTGGGGCGTAATGAAAGGCACAGCGAGCCCGCGTCCATGACCGCGGAGCACTCCCGTCCCGGAGCAGACCCCGCCCGAGACCACTACCTGGGAGCTTGTCCTTTTCCCGGCCAAATAAAAACGCGGAGCCCAACACAGTCCACGCGCCCATTGCATAGACTATGGACATCCGCCGGTACCAGGCCGAGGCCTGGCTGCTGCTCATCGCTGCGACCCGGACCAGGCCGCGTTCACGGAGGCCCACGTTCCGGGAGGCGGGTCTTCCGGCCAGAGCGTCACCGCGGCCAATGGGGAGCCGGCGCCAGCAGGCTGCTTCCTGTCCTGCGCGGTGGCGTCCTGAGAGGTTTGTCCAGGTAAGGTCTCGAGTTTGGACCGGGCTCCTTCCATGTTAAGCAGCGGGCTGTCAACTCTGCTTACTGTGAGATGGGTGACAGATGATTCCTCTGAGCAGAAACATCACTTGCAACAAAGACACTTGTAACGGATACTTGACTGAGGCACCATGCGTGATTTTTTTTGTTGCTTGTTAAAAAAAGATAATTTTATTAAGATGATCTTACCACTCTTGTTACAATCCATATATCAATTGCATCAGACATATTTGTACATATATTGCCATCTATTTAGCCCTTGCATCAGCTACTCTATTTTCCCCTCCACCCACCCCTACCATGCGTTTCATTCCATCTCCATTTTACACGCTAAGATTTGTGAAGCTATCCCCTACCCCCGCCTCTCCCGCCACCACCACTACCGCGCATCTTCTCCATTTTTCTTTCTGGAACCAACAAGCCAAAAACACAAATTAACTGCCATAGAGTCAATGCCACTCATAACGACCCAATAGCACAGGACAGAACTGCCCCTGTGGGTTTCCTAGACTAACTTAGCTGGAGGAGAAAGCTCCATCTTTCTCCTGCTAAGGGGCTGGCTTCAAACTGTGGGCTTCTGGTTAGCAACCTACTCAGAACCACTTTGATGCCACCAGAGCCCTTTGTGGAACTGATGGAGAAGGAAAAGAGTAAGCCCGCAGTTAATCAAATACAGGAAATGTGGGGAAAGTTTGGAATCTAGTCTGTTAACGACTTAGTTTTCTAAAACCGAAAATGTAACACACACCACCACCACCCTCCCACCCGCGGGCAGAAAAAAATTTTTTTTTCTTTCTTTGAAACAGATTAATAAGGATTTTCTCATTCGAGTTTGGGCAAACAAAACCTAGCAAGCAAAGCCATTTAGATAAGCAATGGAGCCTGAAGGAGTAACAGGCCCAAGTTCCCTGTGAGCCATGCCTCCTTTATTCTCTCGAATTTGCCATACAGTTTAGGATATATAACTTGCTTGATTTTCACTGAATTTGGGAAGCCGTTTGGAAATGGCAAACCCTACTGTTTTCTTCTGTCAAGCACTTACAGAAATAAACCTAAAATTGCTTATGTCAACCCAGTCTCTAAACAGTGCCAAGCATCCTGGCTTTTATCTGCTTCGACAGAACCTCACCTATGGCGGTGGTTCTCAACTTTCCTAATGCTGCAATGCGACCCTTTAATACAGTTCCTGAATGTTCTCTCTTCCCTCCCTATCCTCTCGCTCTCTGTGCAGACCAGGCTGCTAAGATTGTGGCTGTCCGGCAGGGCAGTGTGAAAGAGACCAGACTTCAACCCTGTGCTCCAAGACGTGAACGTAACATACCGGCATGAGACAATGAACCAATAAAGAAGTCTGCGGGGCAGGCCCCAATCCCAATGAGTTGGACACCACCACTCCCCCAACACCCACAAGAAGAATGCACTTCAGAGGAAAACACTGAATCTACAGCTCAGGGAGAGGGGCACGCCTGATCAGAGTATACAGGAGCAAACAAAGAGGGAAGGAGAGAGTGGAACACATCCTGGCCCACCAAGCCCCTAAGAGGATATTTCTGCTCAGAACAGCCAATGCACAGAGAGGACCATAAGACCATCCCCACCATGAGACACAACATCCCTCACTGACCTATAGTGCTACAGGGAACAAAACTGGAGAAATCTTGCAGGAATCGTGCCTGATCCGACCCTACCACACCGGAGCGAAACACTAAGGGCATGCATCAGAGCAGCAAGGGGAGCAAAGCAATGAAGTCCCCAGAGAATCCCAAAAATAGACTTTGGGGTCAGGGCAGAACATCTCATCAGACTCAACCAGAAAACACTCCCAAAGTTCAACAAACAGATCTCAAACTATTTATAAGCTTTTATTTTTTTGTCATTTTTTGTTTTCTTTTCTTATTTTGTTTTGCTTTGTCTTGTTTTTTGTGCTTATTATTATCTCTGCATATCTGTCTAAATAAAATAGGCAGGATAAACAAATCCGGAGGAGAAAACAACAGGACCGATGGTTCTGGGGAACATGGGAGAGGGGGAGGAGGTGAAAGAAAGTGGGGAGTCAACCAACCCAGGGACAAGGGAACAAGAAGTGATCTAAAATCAATGGCAAGGAGGGCGTAGGATGCTTGGTGGGGCTTGATCAAGGGAAATGTAGGCAAAAGGAATTACTGAAACCTGAATGAAGGCTGAACATGATAGTTGGACAAGAAGAAAGTAAAAGGAAATAGAGGAAAGAACTAGGAGGCAAAGGACATTTATAGGTGTCTAAATACAGGCACGTACATATGGAAATATATTTATATGTAATGATAGGGAAATAGATCTAAGTACATAGTATTTATATTTTAAGTATTAAGGTAGCAGACAGACATTGGGCCTCTACTCAAGCACTCCCTCAACTCAAGAACACTTTGTTCTAATAACCCGGCATTCTGTGATGCTCACCTTCCTGACACAGTTGCTGAAGACAAAATGAGTGCTAAGCAAATGTGGCGAAGAAAGCTGATGGTGCCTACTATCAAAAGAATAAGTATCTGAGGTCCTAGAGGCTTGAAAATAAACAAGCGGCCATCTAGCTGAGAAGAAACAAAGCCCACATAGAAGTACACCAGCCTGTGTGATTAAGAGGTGTCGATGGGATCAGTTATCAGGCATCAAAGACCCAGAACAAAAAATTATATCGATGTGAATGAGGGGGATGGCAGAGTGGATGTCCATCTGTAGACAATTGGACATTCCCTTACAAAAGGGTCACAAGGAAGAGATGAGCCATTCAGGGTACAGCATAGCATCGATGAAACATACAACTTTCTCTAGTTCTTTAATGCTTCCTCACCCCCACTATCATTACCTCAATTCTACCTTACATATCTGACTAGACCAGAATATGTACACTGCTACAGATAAGAACTCGCAACACAGAGAACTCAGGACAAATAAACCCCTCAGGACCAATAATGAGAGTAGCGATACCAGGAGGGTAAGGGTAAGGTGAGGGGAGAAAGGGAGAACCGATCACAATGATAGATGTATAACTCCCTCCCAGGGGGATGGACAACAGAAAAGTGCATGAAGGGAGGAAGCGGTTGGTGTAAGACATGAAAAATAATAATTTATAAATATCAAGGGTTCATGAGGGAGGGAGGATGGAAGAGAGGGGAAAATGAGCTGATACCAAGGGTTTAAGTAGAAAGAAACTGTGTTGCAAATGATGATGGCAAAAAAGTACAAATGTGCTTGACACAATGGATGTATGTATGGATTGTGATAACTGTAAGAGCCCCCAATAAAATGATTTAAAAGAAAAAAATAACAATACAGTTCCCCATGTCATGGTGACCCCAACCATAAAATTATTTTTGTTGCTACTTCATAACTGTAATTTTGCTACTGTTATGAATCGTAATGTAAATATCTGATATGTGGGATGTATTTTCATTGTTACAAATTAAACATAATTAAAGCATAGTGATTAATCACAAAACAATATGTAATTATATATTGTGAAGTATTTATGTGTTTTCTGACAGTCTTAGGTGACCCCTGTGAAAGGGGCATTCAACCCCCAAAGGGGTCACAACACCTAGGGGAATCTTAGATCCCATTGATGTTCCTTCCAGGAACCCTTGCAGGACAATGGTTAAGTTTGAAGTCAACTCCTTTGAGGTCAGGCTGTGTTTTAAAAGATCATAGCCTTGGAAACCCCATGAGGCAGTTCTATGTTGTCCTAAAGGTTCACTATGACTCTATAGGACGTAGAACTGACTTGACAACAAAGTTTAATAATCCTTCTGTGCTCTGGGTTCCATCCTTTCCTGCTTCTGAAGGGCCTTTCCCATCATTTCTACCCTATCCTCATTCAAGATCACCACTACCTCCCCTCCCAGAATCCCTCTTCTCCTTCATCATACAATATACTGTAACCTAAGTTATTTTACTTACTGTAGTTTTTTAAAATCTTCCTTACTAAATACAGTTAGCATAACTTACTTAATGCACTCTCTATGGCATTTTTATAAGTTGCTCAAAGACAGATGTGGATGTCAACTAGAAGGGTATGATAGGTAGGTTTATCATGCCATCCTGGCTAATAGGAACATGTGGGATTAACAAGGTCCCAGTTTGATTGGAGGGCAAAAAGATAAATGGCACAGCAAGCCCCGCCTCTCTCTCCCTTGCTCTCCAGTGATTGGACCAACATGAGGCTGCTTTAGCTAGTTCTCTACTTCAACTTATGAGCTACACAACCTGTGGGACAGCAAAGCCATGGATCGTGGATCGTGTAGCTAGAGCTTGAGGTTGCTTTGAAACCTGCTTAGCCACGTTACTGGTGTATACATCACTTGAACTTGAAGCTGTCAGATCCTATTGTCTTGCATTGCTTGGATTCAATATCCCATGTGGGCCTGCTTTGCTAAGGTCTGAGCTTCTGACTGTCGGTGACCCGCCCTGCTGTTTGCTGCCTGTAGCCAGAGTGCCTTCATTAACTTAGGGAAGATTCAGTTGTCTGCTTCCTCAACCTTAGAGCCAGCAGCCCTCTTGGGTTGAAGGACTTCCAGTATATTAACGGAAGTGAATTGAACTGAGCCCTATGTACTGCTGTGTGGACTAATTAGCTGTTATATTCCTTCGTGGTGTGTGTGTGTGTGTGTGTGTGTGTGTGTGTGTGTATAAAATCGTAAGTTCTTGGTTTTGTTTCTCTGGAGAACCCTGTCTAACACAAAGGGCCAGATGATAAAAGTTTCTCTGGTCCTGGCTGCCCCCCACCCCACACACACTTTGTGTGATTCCTCAAAGTGTAAATTCCAAAGAAAAAGGCATATATTCTCTATGTAGTCATCAGATTTCAAAAAGCATACTACAAAGACAACCCATTT